AAAGTTCAAATCAGAGCCAAATGCAAATCAAGTCAAGTATCTGAAGGCAGCTTGATCACATTCACAGACACACTCCTCCTTTCAAAAAGACATTGCTTGGTGTAGCCCACTAACAGCTTTCTGATGTGTGCACAATGTGCTACACATCTACTGTAACTATAAAAACTTTGGTCTTTAAAATTAATTAATAAAATGATCAAACATTTTTACAATAAATTGAATATTAATTCATCAGAATAAGTCAGAATTAAGATGCATGGTTTTATTTGTTGGATACAGCTGAGAAGGTCAAGACCTTTAAGGTGGGACAGGGCATGCTATACAGGGCATGATGATACAGTAGGTAATCCACCATATCCAATAGTTCTCACAACAAAAACCACAGTGAATTTCTGCCTTTATTGCTTTATATGAACTAGTTTCTGCCTTTATATCATGATTAGTTTGGCATTATGGACAAGAAGCTGTCTAACTCCGCCTTAACATGCTGATTTCTGACTTCCCAATTCTGAAGGCATAATTACAAATTTGTTGTGTTTAATTGCTTTGTTGTCAGAAATAATAGGAATCATGGAGGACACCAGGTTTATTTTTAATCATTGCTTGTGGAAATCTCATTAAATCCAAAATGCTTTTAATATATTTACATTTACATTTAGTAATTTAGCAGACACTTTTATCCAAAGTGACTTACAAATGAGGACAATAGAAGCAATCAAAATCAACAAAAGAGCAATAAAATGTACAGTAAATGCTATGACAAGTCTCGTATATATCGTATGATATTTAGTCAATATCCAACAGATTTCAACAGATCCAATGTAGTGTCCCATTTGTTGCCAACCATATAAACATCACTCACGCTACTGTGACTGCGCTAGAAGTCTCGGTAAAATAAATGCCGTTTTTTTTTATCTGTGTAAATGAAATTAAATATACTGTATATGACTGTAATAGCAAGAGAAAGATGTTGTGAGAAAAGCGAATAAGCAGTCTTACAGTATGTTTACACAACAACGACGTACTAATAACAGAAACGTTTTTCTTTTGCATTTTTAAAAAGTTTTGCGTACAGATGACAATGTCGTCAAAACGATACTCGCTCACACGGATCTGCAAAAACAACTAAAAATGCTGTATGATGCATGCCAGGCCAGTAGTTGGCACTGTGACTTTGTAAAGAAAGACTATGCTTTTGCACATATATGCATTCATCTACAGAGCCGGAGCTCGGTAAATACACATAATAGACATGATGTGACCCCTTTTACAAATTTGCATATTTGTAGTTTACATGGAAACATTAACGGTATCGTTTTTTAACAACTTGCCCTTTGAACCCCCATTTTCAGGCCCCCAAAATAAATTGTGTAAATGAACAGCAAACAAAATATACGTTTTCAGTTTTTAGTTCAAAGCCCCCTTAAACTTAGCATTCACTACAGTAAACTGCCATGTTTAGTTTATGGCCTACCCAACTCTGAAACTCGGGAGTCAAAATAACCTCAGAGGTTCCTAGTTGTAAATACAATTTGAGAGGCCGTTCATGTCTGATAGCATGTGAGGGCAGCATGAGGTGTAGCTGGTAGATGGGTGGAGTTTCCTCTATGATAATATCTCATTGCGGGTGTGGTGGTGGTCTGATGACAGGACTCTTTGATGAGATCAGAACCTAAAGCCGTTTAATTGTACTGATCACTGTGGTTACCAATCATTACAAGGTGTCGTCCCATAGTTTTGTCTCTAAATGGAGGTTTTTTGGGGCGTTTTGACCAATTTACTCCAGGAGGTGAGGGGTTAAGTGAGAGCCATGTAGGTGAACGATGGAGTAATGGTAGGTTTGTTGGGTTTATAGAAGTAGACTCCACCACACTCAGCAACTTTAAGGTTCCTTGCGCCAAGCTGCAAATTCACATCAGGTTTATTTCCAACACAGCAGCACTGACACTGTAATTTCTGTCTTCTACAGGACAAAAAGAGATTAGAGAACATCATTCAGCGCCACTGACTCAGCCAAAAAGTGTCATCAGGTAAGAGCTGCATTGACAGTACCAAGAATTAAAACAGCAGCTGCAACTTTTCACATCGTGGCTTCAGAGAACATCTTTCAAATTGCGATGTATCAAAAAATTAGTTGGATTTGAGCAACTCAAACACAAACAGATGAGTGTACAGAAAGGTGAATACACCATAATCATGTTGTTAAATGGAAATGTGATTTTCTGCTTTCCTGTCGCAAGTAGAAATATATTACGCAGAGCTGCCAAAGTGCGGTGGGTACATATACCATACATTAAAACCATTTCCTATCCAGTTGGGGACAGATCCATCGTACAGGCATTTTGAAGACCGTAAGGGAGCTATTAAGCAAAATTAGTCTGTCCCAGCGGTGTGTCTGACAGGACTAAACGTCTTTAAAATGTTTAAACTGTAGTCAGATTTTACAAGGAGCAGAGCGAAGAAAGAAAGTCATGTTTGAACATTTCTCTACGGGTGAAGTCTAACCACAGGGGTTCGAGAGTGAAATAACCTCTTAAAAATGCAACAGTCTCATGGCACCTTAATGGATGAGATCATTCATCTGCTTTTGCAGGAAAGGAGTGATGCTAATTTGCCCTGTTAACTACTAATGTACATTTAATATAAATTTTACATGAATACTTAAGGAAAATAAACTATAAAGGGACCAACTGAGGGAAATACTAGCATATGAAACTGTGGCAAGCACTTAATCGTGGGCATATAGGAAAATGAGAATATATTAAGACTCTTACAGTAAATGGTCTAATAATTTCCATTAAGCTTGTAGTTTAAAAGGTTCCTGAGGCTGGTGTGAATGAGCGTATGGCTTGGTGCCATCAAACTGAGAGTCCAACCCATCTCAATAAGACTTCAACGAGTTTGGTCAGAGTACACTGAAAAGTTATAACAGGCTGCAGGTCTATTAGTCAAATAGTTTTGCCCACATGAAAAGTTCAGTTTATTTTCATGGATATAGGATTTGCAGATTTTCTCAAGTTTTTATAACAGCTTGGTTGCAGGTAATATTGCACTTGTACCATCTAAAATACACCATACATGTTCAGAAGGCAATAAAATGAAAGTACCAATAAACTAAAAAAAAGTGTGATTAAAAACCAGTATAAAATCCTATGCTTGGTTTGTGTCCATTTTTAAGTTCATAGAACTTCATTTTAGTTTTTGCTGTTGCAAACAATATAAATTAAATTTTCCCCCCTCAAACAAGTGTAAAAAAAGAAAACACTAAAAATTGAGAATACAGCAAAATTATTCACGCAGGAAACAACGACAAACATTAAACAAACAAAAAAAAAATCCACAAGATGGTAACAGCTGTCAAGTCCATATGAAATCCGCAAGTTGCTTTCCTTAGTATAAAACTGCATTTGCAATTTAAAAAGAACAGTCATTTCAAGAAATGATATCAAATAAACGATATTCAGTATGATATATTACTGCTTAAGACAAAAGCAGTTAAGAAAAACTATGGAAGTCCAGAAACAGGAAGAATTGTTTTGAACATACACACAGTAGCTACATTTCTAAAGCATTTCACACCATAGTCAATTCTCTTCCCAACATATATTAAGTAGCATTATGAAGCAATGTAAACTGTGTTTGCTAAATTCACCCCCATAACTATGAAAGGCAACTTTAGAAAACACCTGGCTAGTAAATTGTTTATGCACTTAACCAATTAGTAAACACATATAGAACATCAAGTACAACAGCCAAAGTATGTGAACAGGCATCTGATAATACAAGCATTAATGTTCATTTATTGGTTACCTACAGGTTTGTGAGGTCATGATTAGATAAGTGCTACTGTGCCTCTACTTCACCTGCTATTCTTAGTCTGACATCCTGGCAGGAATGTGTTCAAAAGCTCTTTGGATTCTTGGGGCCGTTCTCACAAACTGTGCTTCTGTGGTCAACTTAAGATGCTGCACAATAGTATCTAACTGCACACTGATGAATCCTGATGAATGGAAAGCAAGTTTTTTTAACTTGCCTTAATGCAAATGCAATAGAAAAAATAAGCTAGACACAGCGCAATGGTCAAACACATCTGCCTAATGCAAGTATACTTGGAAAAAGAATTAAAAAGCAGCACAGTAGATCACAAAAACACATTCTGTTTCACACTGTAGACGACTCCTGTGCATTTATTTTGGGACTCAAATGTATGAAATAGCTTTGGTAAAAAAAAAAATCATAAAGTGTCTAAATTATTACTTGAGCAAGTCATAATTCTGAAATAAAAGGTTGAATTATGACAAAGAAACTGTTACGAGATAAAATTATGAGATAAAAGTAGAAATAAAAATACAAATGACAAAGTTTTAAATAATGACAAAAAGTCCAAAATCTCATATTATGAGATAAAATGTCATGAAACAAGTTGAAACAGTCATGACTTTTTAATCTCAATTTCCAATTATAATCACTTACTTTTCACAACTTTAATCACAACTTTTTTTTATTTTAGTTATAATTTCGACTATTATTTCAGAATTGAGATATAAAGTCATAATGAGACTAGTTGAAATTGACAGAATTTAACGACTTTAACGATAATTCTAGCTTTTTAACTCATAATCTCACCCTTTTCCCCTCATAATTATGACTTAATGTAATAATTAATTTGCCAAAGCATTTTTTTCTTCTGATGGGTTTACATACAACATCAAAAGGTTACAGTATACAAATAAAAAACAGGAGTGAAATATAGACTCATCAAAACACACACACACACACACACACACACACACAGACACAGACACAGACACAGACACAGAGAGAGAGACAGCAGCACTTTTTGTTTAGTAAATATGACTGAATCTAAGTCATCGCTATAGTGTGAAATTTGGGTTCTGTAGATTAATGATATTTTGAATTTAAATATGGCCTACAACCACATGTAAATTACATTTCAGTCTATACATTTTGTAGTCTTAATTATTTAAAAAAAAAATTACCATTTTAAAATACATTGGTGTCATTTACATTGACTATGCATTTTTTTTTATAGACTGGCTAGGTTGTTAAGCCGGAACAATGCTGCCAGTATAAAAGCATAATGTTGCAGTTACGCTTTTGCTTTGTTTACATGCCTGCCCGAGAGTGCAGTGTGAAACAGGCCCAATGTTACGAAATTTATATAGCAATACCATGTGGGAGGAAAGGATCAACACAGCAAGTTCAGATAACCAGAAAACTAAATTTGTCAGGCTTAAAGCTCCAATTCAGCAAGCTTTTTAAGATATAAAGCCATAACACAACCATGACCATACATGTTTAGGCATAAGCGAAGACCCAGCAAAAAGAACCTTGATATTGCTTTAAAAACATTAATTTTGCATATTACAAGAGATTCAGAGGGTGTTGAATCAAGTTGCTCATCACTTAATAGATGATGCTGAAGTGATGAACTGTTTCCTCTGTAAATGTTTGACCATGATTATGTTGACAATAATGATGATCAGAAGATGTCTGTTTCGGTTTCTCAAGTGTGCAGGACATGCCTATATAATGCAGCTATGACCTTTTGATGTCCCCTGAATGGTTAGGTTAAAACTTCAGCTCTAAATCATTATCTTCTACCAGTCCTGTCTTTTTATTCATTAAAAAGAATATTTTTTCAGAAGTTCTTGAAAATTTCCAGATCCTTAGCTGGTACTGGTGTGTCCTTCTTCCACTCATCCTCTGGATAGGTGTCAAAGTTAGACGTGTCACCCTCGTGAGATACCTTGGGAACGATGGGTGGCTGTCACAGCAATGAGAAAAACTCATTAAAGAGGCTTTAGATGAAGTGAAATACACATTATCATTCAAAAGTGTGCAGTCAGTAAAGAAATGAATCATTAAATTGATCAAAAGTGACCGTATTCATCAAAAAATCTTGAAAAAATGTATCACAGTTTCTAAATGTATTACTTTTCCTTATTGTTTTTCCTCCTCAACTTTTATAATGATTTCTGAAGAATCATGTGAAACTAAAGACTGGAGTAATGGCTGCCGAAAATTCAACTTTGCCATGACAGGAATAAACTAAGTAATTATATTTAATTAATATCTTATGTTAAATTACTATTTTAATATTAATACAACAAACAGTTGTCTTATAATATTATTTCACAATGCTAGTGTTGAATAATAGAAAAAAGATCTGCACACTGTTATTCTCCCTTTATTCAAAAAAGTTAAAAATAACAACGTTTCGGTCAAAGACCTCCGTCAGGCAATGCTAGTGTTGGCCACGCTTTATTGTAAGGTCCAATTTTTGCTATTAACAAACCATTAACTGTGACTTTTACCTCAATAAACTCCTAATTTGCTGCTTATTAATAGTTAATAAGGTAGTTGTTAAATTTAGGTATAAGGATTGGATTAGGGATGTAGAATATGGTCACACAGAATATGCGTTTTATAAGTACTAATAAACAGCCAATATGTTAATAATAGGCATGCTAAAAAGCAACTAGTTAATAGTGAGAATTGGTCCTTGTACTAAAATGTTACCCTTGGGGTTTTTACTGTGTTTTCAATCGACTGACCCCAAACTGAATGGGCATGTATACTTTCCACTATCCGCTACCAGGTATGTCCAGTAAACCATGGGAAATATTCTGGCTATATAATTCTACCAGTAAATAAAGTAAAAGATGATCACTTTTTAATAAGGTGTTGTCACAGTTATGTGGCCAGTAATGACTTACAAAAATCCTACGAAAATGAATAGTGGCACAAAATGAATATTTAATAACAGGACATATTCTAAAGCTCTATGTGAGTACGTTTACATGGACAACAATACTCCGATTTTAATACGATTAAGACAATACTCTGATTAAGAATCTACCATGTAAACAGATTTTTATAATTGCAGTAAACAGAAATCGAATTAAGACATGTGGAGTATTCTTATTTTAGTCGCATTACTGAAGTGCAGAATAGACATGTAAACACCTTAATCAAATTATTACCGTTGTGTAGGACTTTTCGCCGCATTTTGCGACAGGATACACACACGGCAGTGTCAACCGTTTGACGGCAAATAAAAGAGCTTCAACACCGCCATCGCCTGTATGCATGTACAAATAATTAACTGCACCTGAAGCTTTCATAAAATAAAAAATGAAACAAAAACTGTACATGGCATCATCACGAAGACGAACTATATGTTTATACGTGAAATTCCGGAGGGGACATCGGATGGCGTCACGTGGGGACGTAATGACGTGCGCCATTAATTGAACTATGTACTATAACATGTAAAACGGGAACATGATAGGAATATTCTAAAAGCAACTCCTGTAAACACCATAATCATAATATTGGCTTATTTAGAATAAGGTAAATAATTAGATTACTGATGTCCATGTAAATGTAGTCTATGATGCTTACCTTGAGTTTTTTACAGGGCACAGAATCCCAGTCTACTGACTTAAACCATCTGTGCTTCTTCACATCATCAGCTCCATTCTGGAAGATGACAAAAATAATACACAAGATGATAGATTACTATAACTAAATGAACATAAATGTAGAATGGTGTCTTACATTTTGAGACAAACCACCACAGTAAGAATAAAAACCTCATTTGACCTTGTACATGACACTTCTCATTTGACCCCAAACAGTCTTTTCAGTCACTGTACTGTCTTTTTTAGTTTCTTAGAGAGGGAAAAGAAAAGTGGGACAACTATGCTAACCTACTGAGCTCTTCTAGAAACCTCAGAATTTGGGCCATGCATTGCACTGTGGGACCATGACAGATACACATTCACTCAAGTGGAATAACAGATATCAGCACTTGTGAATGAGCGCTGCCAGCAGGACCTTGCCTTGCTGTGGAAACAGTGCAAACACAGCTGTGATTAGGCTGCCGGGTCTTAAACTCTCATTGTATGTAGTCAGGGGAGAAAAAGCAAAAGAAAGAAAGTGCTAAATTAACAACAGAAGCATCTAGCCTGGGAAGTCCACCCAAAGTGACATTTCTTTTGAAAAAGCTTTTCTATCTTTGTCACTTACTCTGAATCTGGTTTGATGACAAAAAGCAATAAACCCCAAACAAACAGAACAGCGAGATACATATTTCAGCAGAGCTCATTCCTCACGTGTGGAGAATTATAATAACGGCATTAACTGGAGCTAATGGGAAAATGACGCTCAGACGCAACCATTCACAAACTTCCCATGACATCACCGTCACAATATGCATCACATCACGCATGACAGGCCTAGCGCACTGCTGCCACTTCATCTAGTGCCAGTTACTGAATTATTTCCTCTGAAAGGACAATTTAGAAAAGTAAATGCCATTATTTTTTTGAATTACTATAACTGGCGATGCAGAAACATTTTGCACAAGAACTCTGTCTGTAGTTCTTTCCCCAGTATCCACCTCGTCTGATGGGGGTTGGAAGGAGGTATAGTGGGAGAGTTGCCCGGTGTCAGAATCACTCTCTGAATGTCCAGGGAGTTTCTCCAGAGCCTCATCTCATCCACTCTAGGCAGATAGGAAGCCTTCTTATCGTAACTGGAAACATATGTGGCATACTGTGGCCTTTGGGAGAAAGATCTCGCAAGACTCAATCAAGGTCTTCTTATTTGCCACGTGCAGCTTTATTAAGATGCAAAGCTGGACTAGAAACAGAGTTTATTCTGTTAGATGATTCATAGATGGCCTTGAATTTGATATGACTATAAAAAAGCCATATAGTCATACAGCGTTCTCAGAGGAAATATCCTTTGCTCAACCATACAAGAAGAACCATATAAAATATCTGTCACCAGCATCTTGCTTACCTTCATGTTTCCAAGCCTTCTTGCCCGATCAATCACCAGAAACTTCTTGATTAGGTCCCTAGATAAACAAAGACAAGATGAGAACCAATATGCTAAAATGCACCTGATTTAGACATGAAATTATTTTAATAAACACAAGAAAATTAAGACGGTCAATTTCATGAAGGCAGGCATTAAGAGTAGGGATGCATCAATATTGAAATTCTGGCTGATTCAAATAAATCAATAATTATTTGAATGTTATGGTTAATAACCAATAAATGGCTGATACTAAAAATCTCTATGGTTTCGTTAAAATAAAATAAAATTACACAAATATTTTTGTTTGTATGCTGCAAGTGAATTTGGGAATCACAGCATTATAAAATCTGCTCTTTAAAATAAGTATACAAATATGAGTCCTGAAAAAGTAACATAGTCAACAGTTAATACATAATTTCCAAAAGTAACATGATTTTTTTTAAAGAAAAAAAGGTTAAAGCTTCACTAAAATGCATAGCTATAATTTTGTGCTAGATGTTGATAAACGTAAATCTAAAACCTTTAAATATATTTCTGGAATCAAATACATACAGTGGGGGAAATATTTATTTTGATCCCCTGCTGATTTTTTTAAGTTTGCCCACTTACAAAGAAATGAAGGGTCTGTCATTTTTATGGTAGTTTTTTTTTTTTTTACGTATAGAGACAGAAGACCAAACAAAAAATCCAGAAAAAAAACCCACATTATATAAAGGTTAGAAATTGATTTGCATTTCAGTGAGTGAAATAAGTATTTGATCCCCAAACAAAACATGACGGCAAATAAAAGAGCTTCAACACCGCCATCGCCTGTATGCATGTACAAATAATTAACTGCACCTGAAGCTTTCATAAAATAAAAAATGAAACAAAAACTGTACATGGCATCATCACGAAGACGAACTATATGTTTATACGTGAAATTCCGGAGGGGACATCGGATGGCGTCACGTGGGGACGTAATGACGTGCGCCATTAATTGAACTATGTACTATAACATGTAAAACGGGAACATGATAGGAATATTCTAAAAGCAACTCCTGTAAACACCATAATCATAATATTGGCTTATTTAGAATAAGGTAAATAATTAGATTACTGATGTCCATGTAAATGTAGTCTATGATGCTTACCTTGAGTTTTTTACAGGGCACAGAATCCCAGTCTACTGACTTAAACCATCTGTGCTTCTTCACATCATCAGCTCCATTCTGGAAGATGACAAAAATAATACACAAGATGATAGATTACTATAACTAAATGAACATAAATGTAGAATGGTGTCTTACATTTTGAGACAAACCACCACAGTAAGAATAAAAACCTCATTTGACCTTGTACATGACACTTCTCATTTGACCCCAAACAGTCTTTTCAGTCACTGTACTGTCTTTTTTAGTTTCTTAGAGAGGGAAAAGAAAAGTGGGACAACTATGCTAACCTACTGAGCTCTTCTAGAAACCTCAGAATTTGGGCCATGCATTGCACTGTGGGACCATGACAGATACACATTCACTCAAGTGGAATAACAGATATCAGCACTTGTGAATGAGCGCTGCCAGCAGGACCTTGCCTTGCTGTGGAAACAGTGCAAACACAGCTGTGATTAGGCTGCCGGGTCTTAAACTCTCATTGTATGTAGTCAGGGGAGAAAAAGCAAAAGAAAGAAAGTGCTAAATTAACAACAGAAGCATCTAGCCTGGGAAGTCCACCCAAAGTGACATTTCTTTTGAAAAAGCTTTTCTATCTTTGTCACTTACTCTGAATCTGGTTTGATGACAAAAAGCAATAAACCCCAAACAAACAGAACAGCGAGATACATATTTCAGCAGAGCTCATTCCTCACGTGTGGAGAATTATAATAACGGCATTAACTGGAGCTAATGGGAAAATGACGCTCAGACGCAACCATTCACAAACTTCCCATGACATCACCGTCACAATATGCATCACATCACGCATGACAGGCCTAGCGCACTGCTGCCACTTCATCTAGTGCCAGTTACTGAATTATTTCCTCTGAAAGGACAATTTAGAAAAGTAAATGCCATTATTTTTTTGAATTACTATAACTGGCGATGCAGAAACATTTTGCACAAGAACTCTGTCTGTAGTTCTTTCCCCAGTATCCACCTCGTCTGATGGGGGTTGGAAGGAGGTATAGTGGGAGAGTTGCCCGGTGTCAGAATCACTCTCTGAATGTCCAGGGAGTTTCTCCAGAGCCTCATCTCATCCACTCTAGGCAGATAGGAAGCCTTCTTATCGTAACTGGAAACATATGTGGCATACTGTGGCCTTTGGGAGAAAGATCTCGCAAGACTCAATCAAGGTCTTCTTATTTGCCACGTGCAGCTTTATTAAGATGCAAAGCTGGACTAGAAACAGAGTTTATTCTGTTAGATGATTCATAGATGGCCTTGAATTTGATATGACTATAAAAAAGCCATATAGTCATACAGCGTTCTCAGAGGAAATATCCTTTGCTCAACCATACAAGAAGAACCATATAAAATATCTGTCACCAGCATCTTGCTTACCTTCATGTTTCCAAGCCTTCTTGCCCGATCAATCACCAGAAACTTCTTGATTAGGTCCCTAGATAAACAAAGACAAGATGAGAACCAATATGCTAAAATGCACCTGATTTAGACATGAAATTATTTTAATAAACACAAGAAAATTAAGACGGTCAATTTCATGAAGGCAGGCATTAAGAGTAGGGATGCATCAATATTGAAATTCTGGCTGATTCAAATAAATCAATAATTATTTGAATGTTATGGTTAATAACCAATAAATGGCTGATACTAAAAATCTCTATGGTTTCGTTAAAATAAAATAAAATTACACAAATATTTTTGTTTGTATGCTGCAAGTGAATTTGGGAATCACAGCATTATAAAATCTGCTCTTTAAAATAAGTATACAAATATGAGTCCTGAAAAAGTAACATAGTCAACAGTTAATACATAATTTCCAAAAGTAACATGATTTTTTTTAAAGAAAAAAAGGTTAAAGCTTCACTAAAATGCATAGCTATAATTTTGTGCTAGATGTTGATAAACGTAAATCTAAAACCTTTAAATATATTTCTGGAATCAAATACATACAGTGGGGGAAATATTTATTTTGATCCCCTGCTGATTTTTTTAAGTTTGCCCACTTACAAAGAAATGAAGGGTCTGTCATTTTTATGGTAGTTTTTTTTTTTGTGAATTTGGGAATCACAGCATTATAAAATCTGCTCTTTAAAATAAGTATACAAATATGAGTCCTGAAAAAGTAACATAGTCAACAGTTAATACATAATTTCCAAAAGTAACATGATTTTTTTTAAAGAAAAAAAGGTTAAAGCTTCACTAAAATGCATAGCTATAATTTTGTGCTAGATGTTGATAAACGTAAATCTAAAACCTTTAAATATATTTCTGGAATCAAATACATACAGTGGGGGAAATATTTATTTTGATCCCCTGCTGATTTTTTTAAGTTTGCCCACTTACAAAGAAATGAAGGGTCTGTCATTTTTATGGTAGTTTTTTTTTTTTTTACGTATAGAGACAGAAGACCAAACAAAAAATCCAGAAAAAAAACCCACATTATATAAAGGTTAGAAATTGATTTGCATTTCAGTGAGTGAAATAAGTATTTGATCCCCAAGCAAAACATGACTTAGTACTTGTTGCAGAAACCCTTGTTGGCAAGTACAGAGGTAAGATGTTTTTTTTTGTAGTTGGTCACCAGGTTTGCGCACATCTCAGGAGGGATTTTGATCCACTCCTCTTTACAGATCCTCTCTAAATCCTTAAGATTTCTTGGCTGTCGTTTGGCAACTCGAAGTTTCAGCTCCATCCACAGATTTTCTAAAGGATTGAGGTCTGGAGACTGGCTACATGGAGGTGGGAGAGGTTGGAAAGGAAGGCAAATTGTGTGGACAGATGTCTTATACACGTAACAAGCTGACATTAGAAGTAACTTCTTAACGTGGCAGGGCTATATTCTGTGTTCCACATGGGCACATAACCATCTGTGGGAGCCAGAATTCTTGCTGGTTGGTAGGGGATCAAATACTTTTTTCACTCACTGAAATGCAAATCAATCTCTAACCTTTATATAATGTGTTTTTTCTGGATTTTTTGGTTGATATTCTGTCTCTATCTGTTAAAAGTAAACCTACCATAAAAATTACAAATAAATCTTTTCCCCACTGTACATGATAGGGCATCAGTATAAATAAACGGTTTTAAATATTGATGTTTATTGCCAAGTCCAACTAAATTCATTTAACGTCACTTTTAGAATTCGTATCAAGGGCATGTGCTGCTTCAGTTAGGTTATTAGTGAGAAATCATGAGGTTATAAGAGAAAAACAATGCTGCAAGACGTGCATCCAAATGAGAGAGCGAGAGACCGCAAAGCTAGACGTTTCTTCTTATATTAACTAACGTACTCTACGATTAGCTCAGTAAGTAATTTAAAAAAAACATAGACCTGGCTAGAACAAGCGGAGTGATACAAAATTGTGAAAGGGCGTTCCTGTAGCGATACCAGTACAATATCTCACGGTGACCAGAAAGAACTGTTATATATATATATATATATATATATATATAAAACACACATACACACACACTACAATAAGGTCCCACAAGTTAATATTACTTAACTAAAATTAACAAAAAAGAGAGAAAAAGAAAGCCTTTACAGTTACAGTATTTATTAATCTTAGATCATATAGTGGATATAATCTAATAATATAATATAATATAATAATAATAATTGTTATAGTTAATAACCATACAACTGCTACAACTGTTTATTTTTAGTTCAAGTTAGGTTGGGTCCATTAAATAATACTGACAGATACAATCTCTGATTTTAATAATGTATTAGTAAATGTAGGGATGCACGATATATCGGCCACCATATCGGTATCGGCCGATAAATGCTATTTTTTTCTGTTATCGGTATCGGCCTGATAAGAAAATTTGGCCGATATCTTAAAGCCGATAAATAATGCATTATTTCCTTCAGAGACACTTCAGATGCGCGCTGTTCGTTTGCAGCCTTTTGTGCAATTGTACGTTGTAATATTGTGTTTATTTGATGTATATCTGATTTATCTCATATAGAATGCGTTTGGTTAAGTTAAAAGTGCGCTTCAGTTTACCGGTGATCATCTTTAGCTCAGCGCACGCAGCTCAAACAGCAGTGCACAACATTAATGGGAAGAGCGCATCCACAACAGGATCACACATTCTGACTATAGCACGCAATAACTGCGTCATTTTGTACATATATAAGTTGTAATATTATGTTTATGTTGTATTAATATTAATCTCAGGATGCATTTCCTTGAGTTAAATAAGCTGCCAGCAAAACGCTTCAGTTTACCGTGTTCATTCAGCTCTTCAGCTTCAGCACGCACAGCTCAAACGGCTGCTATTTAAAACAGTGGTATTAATTTGTTACTTTTTCAAAATCATTGATACATTATTAATAATAACAACCACTTGTATTTTTCTCTTATTATTTTCATCAACAATATGGTTTAGTAATTAAAATCATTTAATTATTGTCTGGGCAGAGGCTATTCCGTTTTATTGATCTATGGCGCATTCATTTTGATTCTTTACACGTGTAATGATGTCCAGTGACTTGTTTGCATTATTTATGCATTATTTTATTTATTTGTAAGACTTTTTTATGACTAAATTTGGTAATGGGAGAGTAAAATTATTTTTAAAACGTACACCGTTCAAACTAGGCTGCTTATGTTGAAGTGTTTGTTTTTAATGATGAGACCTTTTTTGTAATCAGGCTCTCAAAAAGTATATAAAAATTTGGATATAGATTTATCGGCCAACATATCGGTTATCGGCTTTCAAAAATAAAGAATTATCGGTTATCGGTATCGGCCAAAATTTTCATATCGGTGCATCCCTAAGTAAATGTTAACTAACTGTTAACTAATGTTAATAAATACTATAGAAGCCTTTTTTATTGTAGGAGCCTTACCAAAAATGTTACCATAAATATCATGAAACAGAGTTAAATTGCACACACCAATATTTTCTGACAAAGGCCTGCAGTATACCTACCGACAAAGTATAACTACTCTCTTAAAGAGATTATTATACTTTATTTTATGGTGTCCTTGTTACATGTTACATGTACTTACTATTATAATAACAACAATAAATGATGCATAATTACATACAAGTAACCCTAAAACAAACCCTAATCCATAACCATATAGTAAGTGCATGTAGTTAATTAACATTACTCCGCACTTAAATGTATAGTGTAACAAGGACACCTTAAAATAAAGTGTAACCAATTATTCATAGTGCAGCTTATTAACACAAAAACAATTTCTACACACATAAAAATCTACCTGCACTAAGCTTTTCACATAACCCTTATGTATTAGGTTTTAAAATCAATCTGTATCCATTACCCAGCAGACTTCAAGCTGCGAACACGAGCGCATTAGCATGTTTACTGCTGTGCCGTTGATGTTCTCACTCAACCTAACACGAGAGACGCCTGGAGCGATCGTGCTACAGATGACCTTGCCATTCACTCTAGCCTCCCTTGCAGATGTTATTCATTCTCCAATGATCATGTGTGTTCGACTTCAGGATACCATTATCTTGTCAAGCTTGTTAAATCCCTACTGACACAAGTCGTAGTTTTGGCTACTTTCATAATTGTAACTAGAGTAAACATGACAGTTGAAAGGAAACATGGATTCACTTTGCCTAAGGTGACTGTCTGTCTCTATTTCCAAGAGCTTCCTCAAGCTGTCTTTGTCTCTGGAGTGCAGACCGTTTGAAGCAGCGAATGGCAGTTTAGCCACTAATGGACAAAAGCCATATTAGGAAATGCAGCTGTGATGTCATTTTGTGTATGTGATTGTACAGCTGCAATGACTTTTTAGATGTTAAAAGATCATCATCATAAAGAGAGGATATTGTTGTGTTTTATTAAGAGGGATAAAATAAAGGATTACTTTTCTGAACATCAAGAGGGGACAGTGGGTCGTTTGCTGGATCCTGAACTTCTTTAGATCAAAAGCACCATGAGTAATAGTGTAGAGTAAATAGATCAATCTGGAGGATGCCTCCACTCCAGTGTGCTTAGCTAACATGTTTAGACGAGCTCATTAGAGGACATGAGTTAGTTTGTAACTGCGTGCACTAGGGCTGTGTATCACCAGCAAAGTCACGATACGATACGTATCACGATACAGATGCCACGGTACGATGCATATCACGATACATGACTGCACTGAATTTCACCTCAGCAGAATTTAGTAAAACAGCTGTTTATTAAACACTGCTTACTATAGTGCCATTTCTAACTATTGGCAGAGCAGGCAGCTGACCTCTGCATTATGAAGGGCCTCCATAAATGTACCACAGTACAATATAGGTAATGGCATATGTTTCATGTTTACATTGTGCACTCCCCACCAGGTACAATAGCGGTGTTGGCGGAAGTTCGCGTGGCGATGTGTACGACATTTTTTGTAACTTTCCGACCAGCTCCGCTTCCGAAGATGCACGAGTTCAAAGCGACTCTAGCCGAACATGCACGTTTGTGCCAGCATTTGTGTGAAACAGAAGCAGTTTGATGTTAAGTGCAGTCACACACACAGATCACGTTGCGGCCGAACTCAGACATTCAGGAACAAACTTTTTAGTGCTGCCCCACAATTTTATCAACTAAATAGCTTAATCGCTCAAGAGCTACATTATCTTTTTCAACAAGGAGCTGGTAACATCAGTTTCTACAGGAATTAAAGCCACAGATTCACTGTTAGAGAAACGCGGCAAAACGGTGGTAATTCATACATACACAGCCTCCCTCTCTCTCTCTCTCTCTGTGTCGTAAATGAACAGTTGATGAATTACACTTTTCTGAG